TGCGTGCGTGCGTGCGTGCGTGTGCGCGCGCGTGCGTGCGTGCGTGCGTGTGTGCGTGCGTGCGTGCGTGCGTGCGGGTGTGTGTGTGGGTGTGTGTGTGTGTGTGTGTGTGTGTGTTTGTGTGTGTGTGTGTGTGTGTGTTTGTGTGTGTGTTTGCGTGCGTGCGTGCGCGCGCGCGTGTGTGCGTACATGCATGCATATGCACGTACGCTCAGTCAAGCATGGGCTAGCTGCTAGAAGATGATGAGCGCGAGCGTTATTACCTAGAAGAGAGGAGGACGGTTCCGATTCTAGTCTCTCGGTTATTTCCTGGACCAGTGAATCACTTGGGCTCGGTATCTTGGCAATTAGATTTATGAGTGACCGTAGTTCTTCATCGTTGAAGCCAATGTCCGAATCTAGCCTGCGAATCAGCTCCTATATAAAGAAAATCCGAGTATGTAGAATACACTATATGTATAAAGCGATTGGAAATTTTGTTGATCTGGCGCATTGTCACTACATTTATCGCATCACCGCCTATCCGTCCAGCAATACGAACAGATGAGGATAGGACGTCTGAGTTCTATTCCCACTCAAATAGTGGCATAAATTGGTAAACACGGCGCTGATTAATTGTGTAATTGTTTAATTGATTAATTGTTGTCGTGTTGCTAAACAAAAGCGCTGATTGGATTGTAGGCGTAGGATCTAAAGGATCAGCGAAATTCGACATTGCACAACATTACCAATGCACAGCACGATATATATAATAGCTATCCAGCTTTACAGGTAAATCCCTTGCAGAATTTCTTTAAAAAATGAGAGCAGTTTACATATTACTATAGTTATTATAGTTGCACATATTACTACATATATTATTATACTTCTACTGCTCCCTGGTAAAGCCAAACAGCACTGAATACTAGCGTAGTATTGTCACTGTTACATTTGTTAAGAGGTGTATAGCGTACGTATTCTATTACTATTACTAGTCTTACTGGGTTGCTCTTAATTAGAGACAAGTAACTTTCTCAGATGGCGAGCCTGATCTGACTAACTCTCACTCTTACTCTCAATACGCGCGGGGGCGGGCGTGCGCACGATGCCGCTATGTGAGTGCGCAAAAATAACGTGGGCGGCACAGACGACCGGAGTTGGAGTAACGCCGTAGGGCGAAGGACGTATTGTGAGAAACCGAAAGGTCATACGATCAAGATTAACACAGACAACGACACATGCTGTATAAGATATCTCGACGAAATCTCTCTGCGAGCGTGGCAAAAATTTTCAGAGAGCCACGCCCCTGAAGGCAGGTACTCCTTCATCAGCTAGTACCACTTAAATATAGACGGCGATCAATCGATCACATGATTCGATCGCTAATAAGCTTACGATTTCACTTGGACGACCGCCGTCGATAACGAGCAATCTAAGAGCATCAAGGCATTCGCTCCACTTGTTTTTGCATGTCGCATCGCTCACCTATACGAAAAAGACGTCACCGCGCAATCTCTCACATTATTATTAGTACATTAAAAATACAACATATATAATTTCAACGAACCATTTCTAAACGATGAATTCCGAATGGATCGTCAACTCGTAATTTGTAATCGAAGCAACTATATGTATGAATATAACCAAGAGTAGATAATAACACGTGTTCTTATCTACTCTTGATATAACTGAAAGATGGCCAGATCGATTCAGTTATGCACAGACTCTTTCTTTTCACATGTAACATTTTCATTTTCAGTAACACACAAAAATGTATTTACGAAGTGACATACATAACTAAATGCATATATAGTGCAAAGTGAGCCTACCGTTTCCATATAGGCGGCTACCTCTTTACTCATGCTAGCTCTCTCATGAGAAGGTGCCAGATACAATTTTTTCTCTAGCTCCCGCACTGTAAAAAGTATATATTTACCGGTTATTTACACAGACACACGCGACCGCTCGCACACACACACGCGCACGCACACGCGCACGCACACGCGCACGCACGCGCAAACTCTCTCTCTCTCTCTCTCACACACACACACACACACACACACACACACACACACACACACACACACACACACACACACATACATACATATACACGAGAGGAGAGAGAGAGAGAGAAGAGAAAGAATGAGGGAGAGGGAGAGAGAGGGAGAAGGAGAGGAGAGAGAGAGAGAGAGAAGAGGAATAAGAGAGAGAGAGAGAGAGAGAGAGAAGACGCGCACGCGGACACACGCGCGCGTGCACCCACCCACGCACAAGCATCTAACAACACGCGTGCCACACACAGCACACACACACACACACACACACACACACACACACACACACATATATATATATATATTTACGTATGCAGACACACACTCGCACGCGTACATACACGAATAGCACGAAATCGCCACACTTGACTACCGAACCGCACATTTTTTAGATAAAAAAGTTGTTATCTACCAGCTTATAAAGTAAAGAGATGGAACAACTGCTCAATAATAATAGCAGTCTCCATGCATAATGCAGTAAACGTTCGTTGTCGTAAAACTGTCGTCGTTGCGGAGTTTTTAGGGCGCTCGCACGGCAGAGAAACTGCACTTTATATTACAAGTACCCAGATGTAGGCGAGTTTTACTCGGGTTACGTAAACTACGCAGTTTTCGGAATCACACATATAAGAATTAATTATACATAACGTAAATCGCACATAAATCATATACAAGTGGCATCGCGCGCGCACGCACAGTTTAGATAAGTTATTCGGGCTATGCCATTTTTATGAATCTAGTCCCATTCTACACAGAAATTTCTAGGAAAATTGTATGTGTATGCTTACATGCATCACCCGACCCTTCCTCGGTGAAATGGTCACGCAGTCGGTCATTTATATCTTCGCTGGACAGCATGTAGCTGAATGATACATCTGAAATGTATCATTGTGTAGTATTACGCAGTGGCTACGCGTCCGGTCATCCATTACAAAGCTCAGCACAGATTCCCAAATTCACGTCAAGATTAGGCCACCCCCTCTTTCAAATCGTTGATTTTACTGGATTTACTATTGCTTCAAAAGTTACAAAAATACATTTTTTTTGATAAAATACCTAAAGGTAAGTAATATTATGATAAAAACTGATTGTTAATTGTTTTTTTACTGAATTGGGTTCGCAAAAGAAATATATGACCGGACGCGTAGCCTGGGAGCTGGGCGACCGGTAACCGGACGCGTAGCCACGGCCAAATTATTATATATTGGTGACCACTATTACTCTTTATTATAGCTCTATTATTCTATATACTAATGTTAGAAATTAAGCAACGTCATTGACAGCGGGTCCCTGATTTTTGTCTACTTCGTATTTTACACTTTAAGAACGGTTTCTTATTTACCTTCATAGCCAGAAAAATATTCTAATGGTGAGCCTTCAGGCGTTTCGATCATGCCGTCGTACGGAATGTCTGAAAGCGATGGAATCATCTCTGCGTATCTCTTGCGCCTGCTCTGCTGCAGTGACAGCGAATATTCACTAGTCACCACCATGTTCCTCATTATGTCATCGGCATGTCCATTTTCTCCAGAGAATTGCATTTTCAAATAGCCAGCTGCGAATCCAAATAGAATAGTCCACGTATAGACATCTCACGCTACAATATGTACAGCGTCTCAGCTCTATCCACAGACAAACAAACTTCTCTTATAAACAAACAAACATCTTATCATCACTGAACGTGCTAATCAAATACTAGTAATAAGCGAGTGACAAATGTCACATGGCTATAGGCTCGCATGACTTTTATCGTCGCACGTACAGGCGGAAGTGAGCACTCCATCACGAAACACGTTCTCTGTGCTGCCACTGAACTGGGCGTAGTTGACGGGATTAGCGCCTCCAAACACCTGAACGACATCGCCGGGCCCAAACGTGGACATCACCTTCTGCGATCCGTCGCGCAGTGTCTCGTGGCTACAGACAGAAGGAGCGAGCTTACATATATTCCATTAGTCATGTTTTAACGGGAATAGAGTACACACAATTAAGGATCTATCTATTATTGCCAATTCATATAATCCTACCACTATTATAACTTCATAGCATTAAATTTTAAAAGGGAGGAATAATTTATGGAAATTTACTATACATACAGTTACTATAGATTATATGAGATACTTGGATTATTTTTATATAATAAATATATTAATTATAGATTTTTAATAAAATATCTAGCACATACAGCTTTATAACTATGTTTAGTGCAATTCGACACATCAAATTTAAAGAAATCAACGACCATTTCATGTATATGTAGTCTGGCCGGTACACGTTTATGCGTAGCTACGTTTGTGACCTTCATGTAGTTGATATCAATCCACTATCAAAATATTAAACACCTTTAGAAAGAAATAGACAACAATCAATTTTTCAAGAAGGTCACATTGAAACTAGTGAAATGAAATGGCCGGCCATGAGAGGATCAAGCCTTGGGGCAGCGTTTTATCTCTGAGAATATGATGCTGCAATATAATTCAGCATGTATAACGTCTTATCTTACCGTTTAGTAGTTCAAAATGTTAAGTCCGTATTGCGGTCAGTGCTAGTTTAATTTGTATTCAATAGCTGTAGGTCGAATTAAGCCTGACAACCTCAGCCCGGCCAAGGAGCCCAAGTGCCAATGTGAATGAGAACTACCAGCAAGGACGCACCTGTAACGCTTGGTGTAAACTCCTGCGTTGTCAAGAGCTATCACCTGCTGTCTGTTCTTGTCCAGATTTGTCTGTAATGCATAGGCGACGTTTCTCTTCAGGTTTCGGGTGGTGCCACTACTTGCGTTGCGTTGGTGGATGAGGGCCGCTATTGCACCGTTAGGTCGCTGTAGCATCGTGAAAGGAGTCGAGAACTCGTGGTCCTTGCCAACCCGCAACGAATCCCTACACGGATATTATTAGACAAAAATTTTACATCTCTAGAGCATGATTAAAATAGGGGTTTACCACCAACATATCCACACATACCTATGCGTATATAGACATAACATGTAATATTTATGTGTATACATTTGTGTTTGCATTGGCTCTCGCTAAGCAAAACCTATATACTTTGTTCATACTATATATGTCGTCAAATTTACGATTTATTATCAAGGGTGATATATGAAACTAATATCACTTGCGGCTTGCGCACCTAATTGAATTTGTGGTTTGTGGAAAAACATGCGCGCAACAACAAGCATGGATTTTTAGCCGCAGATTTCAAGCACTGATTGCCACCTCTCATTTCGATAAATAACAACGGATTCACGAGCTCTCCCTTGCGCACGTAATAGTAAATGTCACTATACTTTACTACTATACGCAGTGTGTGTTTGTCAGCGTTTGTACACGTAAATTCCACATGCCACCTATCACAAGATTATTATGTTATGTGAGACTGGGCATTTAGAAATTCAATTGCCAGAATAAATCCGTAGCTTAAAAATCAAATAGAATCAAAATAAAACCTTACCTATACCGCGAAAATATACGAGGCACACACAACAATAATCATATACAACAAGATAAAATGGAATTTCGAGAAATCTCAAAAGTTTTAAGCTATAAGAGAAATTGAAGCAATTTGTTATTCTATTGATAGAGCTAAAGCTTCACTTGTTATACACTGCTATGTGTGCGTAGATGGCAACGCTGGAGTTGGGAAGAGAGATAGAGCGGGGGAAAGAATCGTCAGGAGGAAGGTCATTAAGTGAATATTTGAAACCACCATGCCGTATCTGTTACGTAAGATATAGCTAGTGATTATATATTTTCGAAATCACATTGCGATCTTATAAACCTTACCAGGAGATTTTGTATTATTTCAGTGATACAAAATCCATTGGCAAGGTTAATAAAATCGGAAAAATAATCTAAAATATTTTGTACTAAACACTATATATATGAACAGTAATTTGCAATAGCAGTGGAAAGATAACGCTGATTTAAATATTACGTCACATTTAGTGCGTATATTTGTAAGAAACTAAAAGTGACCTGGTTTCTATCAACCAAAGATTGCTGAGCAATATTTTTATCACAGAATAATATTAACCAAACAACTATAAAACGAAAATGGCTGCTGTAAAACTATGCAAAACGGTTGTCACTTGCTTTAAGCGCTATTGGTAAGGGCTAATTATAACATAATATTATTTATACCTATACAGAACAGAACTCTATATGATGACGGACAGGCGGGTGTTCAAATGCTAGATCTAATGCTACGACTAAGTAGTTAGCAATAAGATTGTTTTAGTTGCCGCACAATGGTCTTATTCGTAAACGCAATCATTTCGCAATCAGCGATCACTTGCTCCGGTTCCAGGCATGCCTGCATATCGCGCAGTATATACACAGCAGCTGTGATTCCGTTTAACTACATTAAGGTAAATTTATTAACCTGCGGGGCCAATAGTCTATATATAGCAACCAGGTGTACCCACCTATTCTTTTGCTGCCTCACAGCAACATTTTCAATGCTGATCCAATGCGCAGTTAGCGTCTCGTTTGGCGGCATTCCTGACAACTGCCGAGTGGAATCTGCTTGCAAAAAGGTTTACGATGTCAAAACCCTGCTCGTATCGTGGTATATAGGCGGATGCGAGATGTGTTAGCTATTATATAGCGTGATGCTTTGAGTTTGACTAAGCTGAAGTAAAACCAGGGTAGCGACGAGGCTGTGTGTACACGCGTGTCCCGAACGTGGGCGACTGAACAGCGCTCGCTAGAGCGAGAGAGATTATCACGACAGAAACCTTTAACAACCGGGAGCGTCAAAACGTGTAAATCAGGATTGGGCTGGTGCAGGGCGACTTGATCCCGGATCTCGTTGGGAGTATCCTACTAATAGTGACCTCGTTTAGCAAATTTTTAGCGTAGTTGGAATTTCCGTGGTAATTGCGCCAATCAAGGAGTCCGCGTAACGAATCATATTTCTTTGCGCAACATTTCTAATGACATTACGTATGATTTCTAATAGTGATCATGATGTGAACCCGATGCAAGTAGAGATCTGATAAAAGGTTTTAGCGTGAAGTCACACACACGTTCATATAACTTGTGACCTTCACTACGACGTGTATCTGGTATAACTGGCCAGATACATGAGCTTATAAGATGCCAGGAACCATACGCATTTAGTCCTAATCATATTTACCCAGTTCGCTTATTAAAACGCGAATGATCAACATTGTCGGCTACGCTGTTAGCCGGAGTAGAAGTCGTTTATAATGATTACGTGATTTTTATATAAACCCGTACCCGCGATGTGCTCATCCATAAAGAGACTTTAAGCCAAATTCAAACATTTATTACAGACGATGATGTGGTTAATGAGTTAACGTTATCACTTTATTCGAATTGAAATATGTTGAGATGGCGAATGATAGTGCCCAAGGGAAAATTCATATCTCGCGAGGTCTCAAGGTTTTCTTAATACAATATGGCGTTACACGTGGATGGTGATGCTTTGAGTATTTCTTGTTATTACGTGAACAACGCAAGTTTGCATGTAGGGCAAAACATCGTATATTGTGTGCATTCGTGCGTGGATTTTTCCATTTCTGGTCAAAAAGCTTTAGCCTGAGATCGTGACATTGGCAACACACTTGGAGATTTATGAAAAATAAAAAAAACTGACGAAAGTTACCCCCGAGGCATTCTACGTAGACGTCCGCCTCTAACACCAGGGAATTATCGGTGTTTCCGAACGTCGTGTACGTGTTCTCAAACTTGTAGTGAAGTGGAACGTTCATCTGAAAGCAAGCACATGCATGGTCATCGTGCACGCCCTGTAGCTAGAGCGCTATCAAAGGTAAAGCCGCTGTCATTACCGCTAAACACTGTAGGCCTTCAGCCATAAATTCAGATACTACCCGACAAGTATAGAAAGTAGTCACTAGCTCACGGTGGTGTTCGGGTGACGCCCTCACCTTCCCATATACATGCAGTAATACTTTATAATTACACGTTTCTCATCATTTGCCCCTCGTTTGTTAAGCTCGCAGACTCCGCGTGAGTTTGCAGCAGAGCAGTAAATTAATTTATAACAGGTAAAGCCTTCCGACAGTAATCAGTATTATACAATTAAGTAGCGACGTTATAATTTGTATTCGAGAGTGGCGGATAATTCTTAACGCTGTTGCAAAGATTGTTTCTCCAAATTGCCAATCATCGTTATCGTAATTTTGCATGTATGAACGTGTGCGACACTGCAACACGGCGACATGTTATGACGTACCTTGCACTGTGTCGTGATGAACTGGTCATCTGCATTGGCGGTGATGCCGGCGACGGTGACGATGACGCACGCCAGCGCGAGCATCGTCATCTTCCCACATGAAGCCATGTGCGAGGTCATCAGAGCGCTATCAGAACCTGCCAACAAACACAGCCATCCATCGTGCAACGTTCGGATTACGTTGAATGTTAGTTATCTCAGAACTAACGTTTCCTTTTTGGGTGAAATTGGAAATAGCATGCGAAGAAATTGAACGCGTTGCACAGAAACTGCATGCCGATATCGCGATGCCAAATTACCGTGCATGTGTTAATGTTACCGCATGTTATGCATGTTACCGGAAATCATGATTAAAATAGAGGTTCTAGCCGAATTTAGCGGATTATAGCTGGATATAATATTCTGGCTACTGTGCCTGATTTCTCGTTAAGTCCAGGGCACGCAAAAGTTCATGGAAATTCAAATGAAGTTAATCGTGTTAGCAATGCAAAGTATTTACACGATTTAAATAGAGTTGTACGTTTAATGTTTTGATTTGGACTAACTCACCGGCGACGTACTGCCTGTGCGAAATCGTCGTCCTACTCTTCCCGAGTACGGTTGACTGGAAATCTGATAATTAGACAGGTGCATTATATACACCCGGTCACGCCTACGGGCGTGCGATGCTCCGCCCAGGCGCATCGAGACCGTAACAAACGGGATTTGTGCGGCTAGTTGGTATGTGTAAGAAAATGCATCTCCTAAAACAAATGGGTTAAATATAATTTAATTTGTTAATAGATTTACGTGTGAGAACAGCCGCTGCGTGGAAAAGAATTTGCGTGGAAACAATCAGGACGAAGAAGCGTGAGATACCAAGACTTGATGTTAAGATGTACGGTTTCGGTAAGCCCTGTCGAGCCACAAAATATTCATCCGTCTAGCAAGCCCCAGGCAGGACAACAAATTCGTGCTCATCTAGGTGTACCTGCCTTTCCTTTGTACGCATCAAAGATACACATCTTTATTAGAAACTTGCCCTTGCAAGCGCATTGCCCAGGAAGAAGGGAGCTTATCGTGCGAGTGTGCGGGGTACGGTCGCAGTTATTCATATGCTTACATCCACGGTAGTCAGACACACTGGCGTATATATCGTGTGTTTAGAGCGGTTGTTATGTGGTACTATGAGTTGATAGTGTAAGCGGAGGCATGATACGGTGCTGTGGGTTTCCTCATGCAGCTGCCGTACATCGCCCACGGTCTCCTTTGTGATACTCTCTTCTTTACTGTCTCGCGCGTTCTCACATTCTCTACATAGAATATCTGACACTTCCCGTCTCGATTTCCCTCGGCGTTGCTTTGCGCGATACGTAATTCAATATATTGCATCTTTTTTTATGGGATGAACAGTCGATTCGCGACTCGACACTAACGATAGTGGCTTTTCTGCTCAATCGTTGCGAGTAACCCATTATTCCCTTTTTTCCCATCGGGGCCCTCCACCGTAGATGCAATATACAATATCCCTAGCTAAACTACGGGTGGAACCAGCGCACCCACGCGCTTATAGCAATACGTGCCAGGAAAGAGATTTAGCGATGGTGAGAGAGCAACAGACCAAGCAGGAGAGAGAAATCGAAATATAGATAGCGAGTAAGCGGGGTAAAGCGAGAGACAGAGAGAGAGAGAGAGAGAGAGAGAGAGAGAGAGAGAGAGAGAGAGAGAGAGAGAGAGAGAGACGACGACGACGACGACGCGCGCGCGACCGACCGACCCGACCCCGGACCGACCGACCGAACCGACCACTACACGACGACCGACACACACACACACACACACACAACACACACGCACGCACGCACGCACGTTCACGCCACGCACGCACGCACGCACACTACACAACACACGCACGCGCACACGCACGCGCACGCGCACGCACACGCAACACACACACACACACACACACACACACACACTACACTACACACACACACACACACACACACACACACACACACACACACACACACACACACACACACACACACACATATATATATATATATATATATATATATATACACGTATGTAGACACACACTCGCACGCGTACATACACGAATAGCACGAAATCGCCATACTTGACTAGGAACTACAGAACCGACTAGAAACTTGACTAGAACTACTAGGCCTACAGAACCGCACATTTTTTAGTTGTTATCTACCAGCTTATAAAGTAAAGAGATGGAGCTACTGCTCAATAATAATAACAACAGTCTCCATGCATAATGCAGTAAACTTTCTGATGTGTCGTCGTTGCGGAGTTTTTAGAGCGCTCGCAAGGCAGAGAAACTACAGTTTATATTACAAGTACCCAGAGAGAAGGAGAGAGGGTGAGAGAAGGAGAGGGCGTGAAAGAGAGAGTGCGAGAAAGGCGGCAGAAAGCAAGAGAAAGGAGGAAAACATTCGATAGATATATATATAATTATATATATATCAGATCTATCTAGAGATAGGAGATTCTGAGATTCTCATCTACCAATTTTTGTACCCGCCCTACTTCCAATGCTTGACATTTGAAATCGTATTACTAGTGTAGCCCTTGGCTAGTATGGTGGGTACAATGAGGTTTTTCGTTTGTGTTGTGTGGTGTAGTGCTCCTTATCAAATAGTTTACATTTTACACTAAGTGGGCGTATATTTAAAAAAAAATTAAATGTAAAGGGTTAATGTTTTAAGGTTGGGGTTTTAACGTTCATCGACTTACGCGGATTCATGCATTTTGATTGCGCTGATAAGCGTGTCTGTGAAAGAGCAAATAACGAGAGCCTCTGCGATTATAGCCTTTTCTGTTTTTCATATGCCGTTGCTATGCATCACGCTATGACTCGCGGTTGAACACGTGGTGTTGGAAGTGAATGCGTACACTGTAGGGGGGAGGCGTAGTTGTGGGAGAAATGCTAGGCGATCATAAGGCAGACGCTGTAAGGCGGGATTTGACAGAAGACGTACACTTCGAGCTAAAAGCAGTCTACTGCCATGGATTCGGCTGTAAGAGTTGTTTTTAGGCAATTTGAGATTTCGACGAGTTTCTGTGGGAGTCGATGTACGATGTTCTCTTCACTTTTTTTCCAACGATTTTATGTGAACGCCAAGCTATTCGAGCAGGGGATAACCCTCTTGCGTAAATTTCCACTGGTTGGCCTCGTTTCCATCGTTTTAAGTGTGAACAAATAATAATAATAATAATAATAATAATAATAATATTAATATTAATAATAATAATAAAATAACTAATCGACGAGCGTAAACTATGATAATCTATTATAGACAGTGGACGCCTTCTTATCTCGAGTTCTAACCGCCTTTATCATATGGAAGTTGAACTCTACATGAATGGGGTTTTCGCTTACAGTCGGTATAGATTGGATCGCTGGACATTGACAGTCGTCGGTCTTTGCCGATCGCCATCAGTTTTTATCGGACAGTACGATCCCCCCTATACACGAGCCTGTATTCGATTCAGTATAGATCATGGATAACCCATTGGAACTCTGTATGAACGCCTTCGCTCCGGGCCGTTCTCTGTCTGTCTGCATTCATTGTGAGGCCGACATCGTTACCTTGAAAGTTAAATTGACAATTTGGTTTGGATATTGAACTGATATATGAAGTGTTTGTGTGTTTGTGTGTCTGTGCCGCGCTTCTAACCGCGTGCGATTATCGAGTCGGAACAGAGAACTCGTATAGTAGGAGTTGCAGCTATGCGAAATTCTATCCTCAGCTGCGGCGCATCAGCCTAGCAGTTTCTTGTGCTTCTGCAAGCGACAACGCAGCAATATATCGTATACCATCATGTGACGTACTGCTTGTTATGTCTATTGCACCCTTACTGGCAGAAACAATAACAACAACTACTACCACTACTACAATAATAATAATAATTAATAATAATAATACGAAGAAGAAGAAGAAGAAGAATAAGAAGAAGAAGAAGAACAACAACAACAACAACAACAACAACAACAACAACAACAACAAGGAGGCGGAGAAGAAGATGATGAAATTGATAAAGAAAAAAATAAGAACAACAACAACAACGAAGAAGAAGATGAAGAAGAAGAAAATAGAGAAAGCTAACAAGTGGCGGTGATTAAACGATGTCATTTTTATTGAGTTATGCTCTCCGCGCGTGGCCTTGCGCACGCGCAAGCCTCCGTCAATCTGGCGTGGCACGCAGTTTGGTGTAATTCATTGTATTCACGTTTGGCGAGCCAGATTAGGCTCAATTTTACTTGAAAAGCCCAAAGTTATTACCCAAAATCTACTCTTTCCGTAAAAGCGCTATACGTTCGCCCGGTAAAATTATTTAAAATTTTAACATGTCAATTTGCATACACTATATTTATACTGGCAGATTGCCGTGTATTCTCACACTAAAGTGGAGAGCGCATGTTATATTATAGGGCAAGACTAGCCAGCATCACTGCAATTTCTTCCGAGTGGAAAGGCGATAGGAAACGGTTTATGTTGCTCATCTCTCCGTGAGGAGAGTGCACATTTACTATCACATTACCGACAGCAGATCTTGCTCATCCGGTAAAAGCGAAGACATGTTAATTTCGACTCCTAACTGTCTCTATCCGTGATCGATCAATTTATTAATTAGGAGTCGACTACACATAAAATACCTACAAATAAAAAACAAAAAAACAACAAAATATTATCAGCAGTTAATTATATTGCCGTAAGCAACGCAATGCATTCGCGCCTGATCTGATGAATTCCGATCTGATCGCATCCTCATAAGCTGTTGGCCTGTGGTAATTTATTAAACTAGCTATATTATGATAGAGTTAAGTAAGAATTACCGACACATATCAGGCATGCAGAGAAAGCCCAAACTAATAAAAATAAGAGCAAAGAAAATACCAGAATAACAACGACGACGACGACGACAGGGATGGCGGCGATGAATTCAGCACACATGCAATGAAATAATTATTATTCATTCATAGATGCGAGTTTGGTTATCGAACGAAATAGATTTCTAAACTAAGCGCATGTCATACAGTGAGCGCTGCCTGCTATTCACATCAAATAAAAAAAGCGCGTAACCGAATGCCTCACCTTGTATGAAAGAAAGATTTATTTTAATTTATTAATTTTACTTTAATTCGCGTGTTCACGTCTCTGCAAAGTGATGCCTAGTGAATTCTCATCTCGTGATTACGTAATGGAAAACGCGTAACATGAACGCGCTCATTTCCGGAGATAGGGAGGCCTTCTCTACCTCACGGAAAACCCTCGCAATAAACGCGCGTCCGTTACAGAGCTTTGTTATCAATCGGGCGGTTGCTTTTAATTACTTCGTGAATCGTTTCGTTGAGACATATACCGATTTGTTCTACGATTACGTAGTCGGCCTGCTACCGCTAGTCTCTACCTGTGTTATATTTAGACATTGTGTAACAGGTGTAACACCGCATTTCCGTGCCATCGTTAAATTTTGTTTTGAAGTTGAGATTTTAGACAGTCTTCCCGACCGTTCGTGTATTATGTCGACCATTAAAACACTCACAGTGTAGCAGCAAGTTTCTAGATTAAGGCTAACATATCTTAG